TGGTGGCTGACTAAATACTTTTTTGCCCCACTGTATATATAATGTCATTATTATATTTACATATAAATAAATATATATATTAAATATTTAACCAATATCATCAACTGAACTCAGAACCTGAATTTCATTTAGGAAACCGTTTAGGTTTAACAGTAGTATTCAGGTAGAGAAATATACAGAAATTGAATAAACTGTAAATTAAAAACAGATTAATCATTCAAATTAAAGTTACAAATGTTTAGTCAAGAGCAGTGATTGCCCTATTTTTTGTCTTTTGTCGTTTGATTAACATTAATGACAGACTGCACAGCTTTATTAAAGGTGTCATGAATTGAGAAATCAACTTTTACTTGACCTTTTGATATACACGGTCATCATGCTAAAATAATATTCTGTAAGTTTCAGAACTGAAAACAATCTTGTTACTGAAATAAAAGCTTTTGACACCAGGCCCAGCGAACGCCAGATCCTGGAATGTGCCTAAACACCGCCTCCACAGAAGAATATCAATGCCCAATTCTGTAGCCCCGCCCACTGATTCGTGCATGACATAGTAGATCAATAACATAAGCTAAACCGGATCGAGCAACCAAGCAATAAACATGCTGTTAAAGATTGCAAAATATTGTGCAGTGCCTGGTTGTGGAAGAACAGAGTCACTGCATAAACTTCCTTTGGCTTCATATATTAGGAATGAACTTTATTTTTAATAAATTTAAGTTTCAGCTCACGCGAGTAAAACATTGAGCTTAATTTTACCGCGGATTCCTTTGTAAACGAGACACAGTTCGACGCTGGATTTGTAGAGAGACTGAGATCAAAAAGCAATGCTGTGTAAAGTAAAAAATATTTGTACTATGCGTCACTATTGCTTTGTTAGAGATCGCTTGATATGTCCTAATTATATGTACGTGTCTAACCAAAGTCACAGAAGGCTCCAACTATGAAGGATGTAGCTTGTCAAACAGGCACACAGAAAGTTAGTTTACGATGCAAAACTATTATCCAATCATAGCAGTGGGCGTTTACTTCCAAGTCTTCAATGCGGCATGCCCATAAAAACCCAGCGTTTCTCGAGCCGGCCTCAAAACCAGGGTAGAAAATAGCCCATTACTTAATGATTTTGATGTTTTTAAATGTAAAAACCATGCGAATGTCAAAAGTGGACCTCAGACAACAGTATAAAATAAAATAAAAAAAGTCAGTTCATGACCCCTTTGAGCTGCTGTTCCTGTAAGACCAACTGAATGGATCCAATATACTGATACACAACAGTTTTCTTTCTCAACATTCACTTAAGACAAAACCGACTGTGTTTATAAGGCTACTCGCAAGGATGGACATTGACAATTTTGTGTGCATTTGGCCGCTTAATAAGTTGTGGAAAAATAATGGTACTCGTGAGGGGTTTCTTTTCCAAAAGTTTCTAGGGTTTATTCATTTTTCCAGGCCTTAACTGCTTAACACACCAAACACAGAGCAAGCACTGATGTCCAAATTCAAATGACTGACTTGTGTATGTACCAGTTTTAAGTAAATAAATACTTTATCAAAAGACTGAAATGAACAAATTTGAAGACATTATCAGACTAAACAAATGACTCAACGAGTCATTCATTACAGTTGGTCATGACCAAAAGTCAACACAAAGGACATGAGATCAAAACACTAATTAGTGACTGGTTGTTCAAATGTTATGTCATGTCTTTCACTTGCAACTTACTGATACAATTACTTAAAAACATGATGCACTGTATTAGATTGTCAACTCGCCTTTGGATGATACAGCATCAGGTTCTTGCAGACCAAACCTTACAAAACAAGAACAGGAATGTAAGATATATAGATGGCTCAAAAAACGCATGCAATAATCTACTGCATTATATAAGCATTATAGCTAACAGATGATACCGATGTATATTTTCACATGTCCACGTTCACCATTTTACAGTTACCAGTCTGTTTTTTTTCCTCTAGAATGCATGTAAAATGTACTATTGTTGTCATTTTATTTCAGATTTAACGTGTTTTGAAACAATTTTGACAAAGTTATGTAGATTTGTCTTCTCCCATTCAAATAGATAAGTGTGTGAGATTTTTTTTTCCACATATTGCTACACGATAAAGCACAGGCCTATGTGCACTGGTGTGGCTCACTTTTCTTACATAAGACCATTGCACAGCCTAAACACTGCATTTCAACCAAAAGAAATTCTCAAGACTTCTTCAGTCTTCAACCATCTTTTAATGACATTTAATACAAAAAAAGAAAAACAAATGTAATCTCTCTCTCAAACAAGCAAACCTTGCTGCTCTTGCTGCCTTTTTGCTGTCCGCACTTGGTGCAATATTGAAGCGTGCCGCTCTTTTCTGAAGCCTCTGCAATGAAAATAATATTTTTTTACTTTTATGGCAAGAAGAACATACCATAGGATTTAATTATATAATGCACATCTATTAAATGTGTAGTGTAAAATATAGGCCAGCACTATATTGTACAAACGCCAAGCACTGCCATCACCGTAATTTTTCACTGTAACGGCAGCCAAATTACACATTTCTTTGACAAATAATTAGTCAAGGGTAAATATGATAATGACATTAATATCAGTAACTTATTTCATTGTTTATCTCTTTTTATCATCATCTCCATTTTCAAATGATAATGTCTCAATTCCAGCCCTACTGGTGCAAAACACCCCTTTGGTTTCAGTAAAGATCATTACCTCACCAACTGTAGCAGGAGGGTTTATCTTGACCAGTTTTTTCTCAGTCACCCTGAAATCAAGAGCACAGTGAACAAACAAACCCACTTCCAATCACTAATCCTCAGACGAAGTTAGTACTATAGTGTGGCATTATTGTTTTTTATATGCCATGTGCAAAGTATGCTGATGTATAAGTGAAGGGGGAATGACATACTCTTCAGGAGGAGTAAACTCTTGCTTCTGGGAATCGGTCTCTTCTTTGGCAAAGGCCTCCTAAAACACATGCAAAGTATGTTACATTGAGCACATCAAACAATATGACTGTCGTCCCATCTGGAACCTGACACAAGAAACACATTTCTCCGTTTACACCCATTAAAATCCATTCAAACTCCATCCATTTACAGTACTAAAATCCATCTCAGGTGATCTGATCAGTCCAAGATATTTTGTAATCTGACTGATTAATTAATCTACAAAGAGAGACAGTCAGAGATGCATGTGACCACATTGCTTTGAAAGGTAAACTTGAATTTGTTTTGCTGTATCCAGGACAGTAAAGGACCATCTATTCACCCGTCAATCATCCACTGCACTTTGTTATGCTTTAAAATAAAGCTAGATAGGTGAAGTTTGTCAAAGAAAAACTAGGGTTGTATGATTATATATATATATATATATATATATATATATACACATACAGTGG